TTTTAGATTATTCAGATTAGTACTGAATTGGTATCTGCAGGTTAGAGCAGACATTGTTATCTGAACAGATCACCAGAATCAAAGTTTATTGGGTCTACTTTTAGATGCTAACGCTTTATGGACTATTTCAGTGTCCTAAAGGGTCGAAGGACTCCAATTCTACTTTGATTCCCACATTTGTGATGCTAAAAGGCTTCTGATGGAAACACAGAGCTTCCTCTTAACTCCCGAGAACAGAAACTAGCTGCCGTTTTCTTCCCTAATTTAAAGGGACATTACGGAGTTTTGAACTTTTATGCTCGTGATTGCCCCCTCAGGCCAAATGCGTAACGGCAGCTTCAATAGCAGGCTCGTGCACGAGGTGAGCTAAAGCGCCAGTGACGTCCTTTGCATCTGTAACATTTATGTCCTTGATGACAGCTGAAACAACATCAAACCAAAGAACGGTTCAGAGTGAAAACGGCTATTTTGTTGCTAATTAGCAGGAAATATCTAGAAGAAAGTTCTACAGAAAGTAGCTAAGGGTCCTCAGAAATGTAGCTAGCTTTGTCACTAGGCGTTAGGAACAGCGACAAAGTGGCACTGCCTCTCTCTCTGCTGCTAAAGCTACGGATAGCAAATGCTACGGGCGATGCCTGAGCGTGAACGCGCATGAAGCAGCCTGCTCGACCCGAGCATCTCTCTTTTTCTGTGATTTTACAGAAAAACAGGCAATCACAGTAAAAATGCCAGGGCTCATTCTACAGGACCAGGGCATTGCAGGAGAACGTATGAAGAAGACATTTATTATTTCTATACATGTTTTGGCTGTCAGACTTCCATAATGCCCCTTTAAGAACATCTAAAATGTGTGCAGAAAAAAGCTGTTTAAGTGTTTTGGTGAAATCAAAAGGCTATTCTCTTGAGACTTTCTGGTACAGGACGGACTGAATTTGAAGACAAATATCTGACGGTTTGAGGCTGAACAGTGTCATGACAGCTTTGATTAGCAGAATGTGGGTTTGTCCAACGTCTCTGCATAAAGCAACCTCAAAATAGTGACTGTTGTACAGAAACACGGCCACATTAAACCACTCGCCTTGATTACTGATCACAGCTTTGATTAAGCTCTGCTTTTAGTCGGCCTTAGAAAAGATTTTAAGTAGAGCTAAAACTTTGGTTTGGCAGAACCGCTCCAATTCTAGAATGGTATTTCTGTAAAAATGCAATAATCCAATGTTTTGAAAAGTAAGACTGGGCATAACCAAACTCCAGCTTTTACAGCCTACTTTCTATTGTTCTTCTGTTTGTCTAAGTATCATAATGTGATAAAATCACGTTAAGGTTTTGCAGCAAAGCTAACAAGTAGACCGATGAAGAAAAAAGAAAAGGAGGTTTAGTATCTGCAACTGAAAACCCAGAGAGGTGACATTTGTGATGCATTACAGATTATTTACGCAACTGAAGATTTGATTAAAAATCCGTGTGAGTCATAAACTCGCTTCATCCTTGCTTCGGATGGCTTTCATTATTTCAGCTTACAGACTGTCGACCCCCACTCTGCCTCTAAACTGCTCCTGGTAGTACATACATCTGGAGCGTTAGCCCAGTATTAGTTTGCTAATGGATCCTCTGAAGGGCCGTGGCAGCCAACACGCTGGTGGATGGAGGTACATGTGGCACTAAGAAAGGACTTTTGTTCTCTGGGCCCCAACACTCTTGTTCCTTGCATGGAAAAACTGAGCTGGGGGGGGGCAGAAGTCTGGAAAGAAGGAGGGGGTGACATTTTCTTCAAACTTGCTTTTTTTCCCCTTTCTGTCACCCAGTCGCACACTTCATGTAAATCAATAAATAATCAGGCCAAGTAAAAATGTCATTAACGTATATTATACATGTGAGAAACAGTAAAACATCCTTTTGCCACCTTTAAATGTCTCGTTCGCTGAGAAACCAGGAAGTACTTTTTCTTTTTTAAATTGGATCGGTCACCCTGAGGAGCACATGGCCTGCCTTAGCCACAGAAAAGAAATAGACGGGAAAACGATCATGTCAGGGAAAAAAAACATCTCTTCTACGTCACAGTGGGAATTGGTATTCATGGCCCCTCCCACCTTGGCTTAGGACCGCCCATGGGAAGGAGATAGCAGAGAGCATCTCAGCTAATAGAAGCTAACCATTAGCAACACCGCAGCATAGCATTAAGAATTCGGGAGTGTTATTTGGGGACAAAAAAAGGCAGTAGAAGAGTCATGTTGCTGTTGGCCAATCAGAGTTGAGATGTTCAGACGTCATGAAAATTATTGAGATTTTTAATCCAGTCCAACTCTCATGATGCTAGTCAGTTTCCAGCGAGTGGGGTCTGGGTCCCTGGGCTCTGCTGGGTCCCCGGCGGGGGTGGTCGCCCCTGGGTCCCGGGTCGCTGGGTCCCAGGCTCGGCCGGCTGGGCGGCAGGCTGCGGGCGGGCCTGTGGGCTTGCCGCTGATATCTCCCAGGACTCTGCCGGCTGCTGGTTGTGGCCCCCCGGGGTGATCCTCTGAGCCTCTCAAGGGGGGCGGGGGCTTTTATGGTCACATAACACCCCCCCCCCCCCCCCCCCCCCCCGGGGTCCCTGTGCTCTGGGGCAGCTCCTGGATCTCTGGGACTCTGAGCTCCCTCCGTCTCCTGCACATCTTTAAGGGGCAGATCTGTGGCCCCTCACACTCTCTATTGGACGCTCCTGTAGATAAACCTTACATAAACAAGCGCGTGTACACACACAGGTGCTCACATGGTGCTCTCATAAGTATGGACGTTCAACACAGGTCTTAAGGCTGTGGTTGGCACTAAATGCACTATGATTTATTATCGTGTGATTGTTCATATACTTCATCAGGCTGACGCAGTGATAGCTTGCTCCTGATGTACTGTTGTGTTTTTTTTCTATTCTTTCTCCTTCTGCAGGTCTAGAAGCAGACTCTTGTTCATTATTGTTTATTTTTGTTGATTCTTCATCACTACCTTCTCCTCACTCAGCTCTTTCTACCGGTTCTGCCTCTCCTGGGATCCGCTGATTACCTCTTTCTTCTTCATCGTCTTTTTTCACAATTTTTACTAATCCCATTTCTATGACAGTTTTTGAGCATTTTTATCTTTGTTCTTGTGAAGCTCCTTGTGATTTTTATCTTGAGAGGCGCTAAGCAGGGGCGCAGATAGGATTTTCAAACTGGGGGGGGACAAAGTTCCAATGTACCCTCCCCCAAACACATACACATACACAAACTATTGCAAGCGCCTTAACTAGAGCTCAGTAAGTTTGTGTAATTTCATCCAATGGTTTACGTAAAAACTATTATATATGTGTTTGAAGCCATGATGCAGCGGAACGCTGGCAACAAAGCTCTGCCTGATCAACACTATAAATGATAAATGACCCGCACTTGTATAGCGCCTCTCAGAGTAAGGACTCCAAAGCGCTTTACACTACAGTGTATCATTCACCCATTCACACAAACATTCACACACTGATGGTGATGGGCTACGATGTAGCCACAGCTGCCCTGGGGCGCACTGACAGAGGCGCCCCACTAGTTAATTCAGTTATTGTTATTGTTATTCTCCCAATCAGTTACTAACGAAAACCTCACGCTTTATGCAAAACATGAAATGATTTTCAGCATACCGATCTTTACAGAAAACATAAAAGCCCTAAAAAACTGCACATAAAATATAATAAAAAACGATATTCACTTATCACTTAGCGCAGTGGTTCCCAAACTTTTCAGCCTGACCAACAGATGTTCCTTCGTATTTTTACGTTATTTATAAATTTTCATTATATTTGGAAAGTTTTTATTTATATATAAATATATAAATGTCTTTTAAAATGTTATATTTTACTTTTTTTATGATTATGTGGCACACTTGACTTCCATACATAACGCATCTGCCCTTTTTTTACAGCTTTTTTCTTTTTTACATTGTCGCTACGTCTGTCATGTTAGCGGTGTTTTTACCATCATTTCTACATCCAACACGTCCCAGAGAAGGTTAAACCAACATCAAACCCAACGTTTGGAGCTCGTAAACTCCACACATGCTGTGCGCATCTCCTCCTCTCCCCGACTGGGAGCCTCTCGGCGGGAGGCGTTTTTCAAGCTCTAAAAACTCCCAAACTTTGCTCAGCCTGAAGGTTCCACATCTCCGCTATCTTCTGGTGTAAAGTAGTAACTTCATGAGGGATCATATTTGTAGATGAGACTTGTTAAAGTCAGCAATGAGGCTTTGGTGCTTTTAACGGGTAAGTCCCAACACTGACAACAACGTACTGAAACTAGAACCAACATGCATAAACAGACAGATCGGTCCCGCCTACTTACACTGTTGGTCTTTTTTAAATACGCAGTAATCGTTGCTCGCCTTTTTCGCTTCATCCTGCATCCTAGCAGCAACCACTTTGGCGCCTCTGGAGTCGGTGTTTGTTTATGTCATGATGCATTCAACGTGATTGGAAAAAGAAGCTTCAAGCGCTTAAACTCCGATTTTGTTTTCTTTCTGGCTGTAGTGGGGGGGACGGATCGGGGTCGATCTGAATCTGGGGGGGACAGATCCCCCTCGTCCCCCACCCTATCTGTGCACCTGGTGCTAAGTGATTTGTTTACCTGCCTAAGCGATAAGAAACTCTAGAAAATAATTCCCAACCAGTAGGTTTTGAGTCCATCAGTAAAGAAAACTTATTTTCATGTCATTTCACTCTATAGGTTTGAATTTGCCTTCCTGTGCAGTTTTACACTAAACCAGCTCCATGCATGTGGAACTCCTACTCACAATTATATTTCAATTATATGGAGAAAAAAAAAACTAATTTACATCAACGTCTGCACATTTTAAATCAGATCTGTTTTTGTACCGTTTGGTGAGGCAAGAACGTCATGATGGTGAACAAATATGAAGGACACGACCACCTCTTGTTTAAAACAACCTAATGCTGGTCAAAGGACCAGAGGAGCAGCACAGGAAGCAAATCCAAACGCGTAACGGCGTACCCTGGTGGCAGTGGTCTCTCCCATGTTGTGGTTTTGGTGTTGTGGTCGACGTAGTACACTCTGCCATGAGGTAAAACCCGCTGCTCCCAGCTGCACAAAGAACAGCAAACACACACATTTACAACAACACAAAAACCTGTTTAGGCTTTCCTATTAGATACAAGTAAATGCTCTTGTTTTGAGAGGATAGGGAGCGTCCCACAGAGGCTCCCTGTTGTATAACGAAGGGATGTTAACACCAGCATAAACCGAGAGCAGCACTGATGCAAAAAATAAACTCCGGCTCTCTAAATCTGTCATCATCGCCGACATTTAGTCACGTAAATTGTCGGGTGGTTAATTTTGACCAAATACACTCATCTGTCATAATTTGAAGCTATTTCTGTGATATTTGCTTCACAGCGATCAGGAAAGGAATAAAGTTAAACTAAATTAAAAAAAGAAGGTTAGCCTTTTGTCCATTGTGTTAAGCCGGGCGTACACTGTGCGACTTTTTCACTTTTTTGAGCCGATTTTCCAGTCGTGCGAGAATCCACGACATCGGGGCGAGTTTTGCGCCGAGCGGTCGTGTAGTGTACAGGGGGTTACGAGAGGCGATTAACACCACGTGACCAGCTGCCGATCAGCAGTCGTGAGGTCGCATGGACTTCTGGTGTGTTTAATATTTTGCTCGTCCCTCGTGAGGGTATCGCACTGTTGAAGCGGCGCTGCGAGCAGCTGCGACCCAAAAAGTATCAGAACCGCTCACGGCGCATGCGCAATCCTGCATCAACGCCGGTCGCTCGCTATTTCCCTAATAACACACGTTGTTCGTTTTTGTTTCTGCACGTTTTTTTTTTACTCACAAAGATTGTCAAGAAAGCGTGTTTGTCGTGTTCATGTCAAATTAAACTGATCACAAAACACAGATTTGCTTTCTTTATTTCGTTTTCCTCATCCAACCCCCATAAATCCCTGTGTGTCCTCCTGCAGCACTCCCGAAGGACAACAGGCAAAACAAGACAAAAAAGTCTGACGTGTTGAGTAAAAACTGCTATTTTTAGCACATTTTTAGGGCCGACGTGTTGCTACCAGACGTACAGCGTGAGCAGTCAGGTCGCATCCGAGAACTGGGTCGTGCAGCGTGAGCACGTGACTCGTGAGATCTGCTCTGCGAGGAAGTCGTACAGTTTGAGCTGAAGCTGAACGCTGCGAGTGAAAAAGTCGCACAGTGTACGCCCGGCTTTACACATTTACCTGTAGTCACATTTTTACACCTTGTGCTTAAATCAACGACTCTCTCGGCAAACAACCACCAGATTCTTTCAGGATTTATTACTGAAGCGACCTCACTGGAAACAACTCCAGGTGGAGGCAGTGTGCTTTTAATTTCTCCACAGAAACTACCGCATCCACCCCTCTTACCCTGCTGGGAGGGAGTCTGTGGTGGACTCTGTGGTGCTGTTGCATGGCTGCTCTGTGCTGGAGATGGCGTTAGAACCGGGCTCTGCAGCAGTAGCTGGACCCAGGGCATCCTGACCCGGAGAGGGGCTGCTGCCGCTGCTGCTGCTGCTGGCAGCTGGGGATCGGCCCGATGGGGAGGAAGGAGGTGGAGTCTGATGGGACACAACTCCTCGCCCATTGGGAGTCAACTCAACTTTGTCTGTTAAAGGTTTCAGAAGAGAAAGACAGCTTTACACTGTTTGTCACTGTCACACAGTACACATTTATATGTGTTTATACGGGATAAAGTCAGTGTAACATGGTGACAGGGTGAGCAGACTCTTCACCTGCAGCATTTCCTGGGCTGCCATGGCTTTTGGAGGATGGTCTGTCACCGGGCGAGCCGGACCCAGGGATCTGCTCGTCGGGAAGTTCCCCGTTGGTCAAAGACCTCTCTCTGGATTCCCCTGGAGATTCACTCTGCTGACCTCCAACTGAGAGCCTGCTACTCCTGCAAACATAAAACGGTTGAAGAATTAAAAAAGAAATGATGAGAAATGGGAGACAAAGAAACATCTTGGGTTTTGTTTAGTTTGAACAAGCTGTGATTAACTCAAATCTTCGTTGTCTTTTATGTCTGACTCCACTAACAACTACCTATTACTGTTCCTGACTCAGGGCTGGCGCAGGTGAAGGTGATCGCGGGAAAACCGGCGTATGAAAACACACAGAGGTGTCGATGTCGACTACTTTTCCTTTCTGGACACCCTGATGTTTTTCCTGAGCTAAATATTACTTCGCTTTCATGTTCAGAACGTTCCTACAAAGACACTCATGCTGAATTTCCCTCGCTGGGATCAAGAACAGTTGAGGCTGTGCAGACAAAGAATTAAAAAGATTACCTGATTCAAGTGTGGTTTTCATCTAGGACACCGGATTTGTTCATTATTTGCTGTGTAATTTGTTTGTGCAGCTTAGACAAACACACACAATAGAAAGTTGCTGACTGCTCCTCCATGACAGCAGCGGTTTCGGCTCTTGGCTGAACTGAGCGTAATGCCCCCCCACAACGCTTAGGAGGAAATGCCATCTGACCTCGTGCACTCCCACAGCAAAGCTGCACTATTTATTATCCCGCTACTATTCTAGCCAGTGAGAGCAGCGTCTGAAACCACACGCAGAGGGGAATAACATGCTAGCGCTCCGTGCGACGCTTCAGTCGACCAAACTGGCACTGGACCCGTTCATTCGATCTTTTCTTCTCTTTCCTCCATTTATTTTTCATGCAGCTATGTCTTGGGCTCTTTTTTGCAAAAATGCTTTGCAAACAGGATCGTAGAAAAAAAAAACACGGCTTCACGATTTTATTTTTGCACTTTTATTCTTTTTATGATACCGCAAAGCCGGCTGATTTTTCAAACCAAGTATGGAGAAACAATCACGGCCGCATGTTCAGTTATATAAAATATTTCATGCCAGCTTTTGTCATTTCTGCTAAGAAGCTGGTCTGTTATGTAATGATCCAGAGACTGAACGTCCCTCAACGTGTATGTAAAACCGACCCTCTTACAGCTGGAAATTCTCCCATTCTGACCAAATTAACATCAATTTACCTTACATGTAGGGATGGGTACCTTTGACATTTGAATCGATCCCGGTACTTAACGGCACCAATTTTTGATACCTTTGAGTGTTTAATAATTATTTAAATCACTTTTTTAATTACATATATATTATTTTTCCAATATATAACAATATTTGATAAATATCATGATACAACTGTGTAATTTCTATTATGCAAAACTAAACCCGGCTCCATGTACTCCTAATCCTCTTCTATGCCCTCTGGACAAACTGTGTGATGGTGGGTCCTTGTAGCTTTTGTAACAGAATGAAATGACTGTTTTTTCCCTCCTCTGCACAGGACTAGCCTGCATGAGAAATGGCCTCAAGGTCTCATGCGTTCGCTCTAACCTGCTTATTTTCAGCTCAACAGAAGAATGAAGAATGAACTCTTTCCTTTTAATTAATCAAAGAACTATTTTAATAAAGCTAATCCATCAAAGTGTTAGTCAGTAAATAAGATGTGACCGATCTGTGAAATCAAAATATTAATTACTTTATTATAATCCTATAGAATATAAAGGTAATGACTTTAAATGTTCCACTAGGACTGATCTCACGTAGTATTAAAAGACATGACAAATTACTTTCACTGATCCAATCAGAATCTGACAGATCTGATGGAGGCGTGGTTTTGGTGGTGTTTGGTAAAACATGTCAACTTTTCATTCGACCATAAACCAAAACATCCCAAGTATAAAACTATGCCCACGTCATCTCTAACGCCAGTTCAAAGTGTTCTAGAGAAGTTGACGGAGTGGCCAATCTGTAACTTTCCTCTTTAACCGAAAGAACCAACGACAAGCTGGAAAATTCGTTTTTGTTCCAACTGCTGCAACGGTTCCTTTCAGAATAAAAGCTGAACCATCAAGACCCAGGCTCGGGTCTCACCAGACGCCAACAAATTGTCGTGACCCGGAAGTGTCTCACAGACTGGACTGGTCGGCAACCGCCGCTTTTCCTACCGGCTCGGTTCCAGAGAAGGTCAAGCTGGACCTCAACATTCCTGATCTAAAGGGGACTTCCTGAAGGGTAGGTAGACCGGCAAATGGTGTCTCATGTGTTTATGAATCTCCTAATCAAAGCTTAACGCGAAGACATCACCTTCAGTTCCCATCAGAACTAAACGCTTCTTCGGATTTGTTGGTTCTGAACAACATCACACATCATCCATTCACCGTCTCATCCACCTTAGTTACACCATACATGTAGTGTTTAAAGTCAGTCTAGTTTTAATTTGTTAGTAATAAAATCTTAACTTTTAAACTTGACTCTCTCTTCTGTTGTCTCGGAGTGAATTTGAAGCTGCTATCTAATCCCTGCATTAAAAAGTTCCAATCTTCTGGTTTAAATAACCTCACAGATCCATAAGGTGGATTTCATATTTCCTATGGAGTCCTGCACCTTATGGCTCATTAAATAACACGTCATTTAAATCATTACATTTCATAAACTACAAATTACACTTAAGCAAACATCTTTGCTGTGAACTAAATTTACTGTGTTCATTTTCAAACTGTTTATTTTTCCTACTCGGAAGTTGGAATTTCCGAGGAGAAAGTGAACGCACCATTAGCTATGTAAAACAAAAACTAAACTGTCAAGCTAACATTATCTTAAACAGTTTATTTAGCTGCTGGAGCAGATTAAGATGCCTCATGCTCAGATCTTCATCACTGGTTTCATCATCACCCATCACATTTAGTGAAGAGGGCCCAAACTTCAGAACGCTTCCTCTCTTTAATTACAACTCGCCCACAGTGACTGACGACGTTACGCTCTTGCGCGTACTTGCGCGTGGCACAAGTACCGAAACAAGGCACAGCAGACATATGGCATGAATCGGTACTCAGTCGGTACTATGGAATTCGGTCGGTGCCTTAAAAAGTACTGTATTCGGTACTCATCCCTACAGCAGCTTTGTAAATAAAGCATACCTTTAACTTAAACTGAACTACTTGTCATCCCAGCAAAACCATCCATACAGCACAATATCTCAATCCAGAATGACTTCCTGTCTCTGGCTCCTTCAAACGCAGTTCGAAATCTGGGTGTTGTGTTTGATGAACACCTGACCTTTAAAGATCATGTTGCCTCTGTTGCTCGTTCATGCTGCTTTGCGCTGTGTAACATACGAAAGATCAGACCATACCTAGCACAACATGCCACCCAGCTCCTGGTGCAATCTACTGTCATCTCCCGCCTCGATTACTGCAACGCCCTTCTAACTGGTCTTCCAGGCTGTACTGTGAGACCTCTTCAAATGGTCCAGAACGCAGCGGCGCGTCTGGTCTTCAACCGGCCTAAAAGAGCACACGTCACCCCTCTGTTCATTGAGCTCCACTGTAGGGTTGTCACGGTAACCGGTATAGCGGTAAACCCCGGTAAAAAAGTTGACAATAAAAATAACCGTCCAGTTTTTAAAAAACTATATTATCTCGGTGGGTTTACCGTGGCCGCGGTTTCGGCGCGATGACCCTTACCAGCCACCGTCGCTTCAGCTGAAGTTCCCGCGGCGCGCACACGCACTTTTTAGTTTGCAACGGCACCAAAACTTTGAAGCTGAAATAATGGCCGAAGGAGGAGACGGCAGCGCCCAGGACATCCATCCGCCCTCAAAGAAGACTAAATCGGAAGTATGGGCATATTTGGGATTTCTGAAAAACGCTGAGGGACAGTTAATGGAAGACTGCTATCCCGTTTGCAGAACGTGCAGGAAACAAGTGTCTGCAAAAGGTAACACTTCGAATCTAATGGCACATCTGTGTGACGATCACCCACGTCTCTACAGCCAGTGCAAGGTAAGTCAACATGAGCATTTTAGCTTAAATGCATGACGCGAGGACTTTTGGTTGAGGGAGAATGCAACGAGTCACTATATACTGCAGCCGCAGCGTCCTCTGCCAGCATTTAAACCGTGTCACGGACACCCTGTTGCTGGATGAAGCATCTTATTTGTTGATGATGAAGAGAAATATACAATTAGTTCCTTGTCATTGATTTGTTTACTTATTCAATGCCATTTATACTTGAACATTTGGATTTGATTACATAGTGTAGTAGTTATTTTAGTAATTTGTTTAAAGTGGCTATTTGTTTTAAATACATATTTCTTAAGGTTGACTTGTACAGCGCTCAAGTCAAGTGTGGACTGGAGTTTTAGATTTTCATTTTGATAATGAAGAAAACAAGTATATGAGAAAACAAGTGGTGTTTCTTTGATTTGTTTACATATTGTTTATGTTTTGAATGTTTGGATTTGTATAATTTAAACCTGCACTGACTACTGTAACATGTTCCAGAAAAAGAAGCTATTTGTTCCTTTACTTGTGAAAAGTTGCACTTTTGCTAAGGCTTTGTGTTATTTTAGGTTTAATAAACACTGTTAAACATTTTCAAAACTATTTCTGTTTGTGTAGAACAGGACTATCAATGCTTTCTGAACATATGCAACACCGTTTAAAAAATACCGCGATAATACCGAAAACCGTGATAATTTTGGTCACAATAACCGTGAGGTTACATTTTCATACCGTGACAACCCTACTCCACTGGCTACCGCTAGCAGCATGCATCAAATTCAAATTGCTAACACTAGCATACAAAGTCCGAGATGGTACGGCTCCCATCTACCTGAATCCTCTTGCACAGGCTTACGTCTCGGCCCGGCCGCTCCGGTCATCGCAGGATGGTCGGCTAGCGGTGCCTACACCACGCTCAGGACAATCCAGACTCTTCTCATGCATCGTTCCACAAATGTGGAATGACCTTCCAAGCACTACCAGAACTGCGGCTTCCTTTTCAATTTTCAAGAAACTCCTGAAGACCCTGCTCTTCAGAGAGCATCTTCTAAACTAGCACCCTCCCTGCACCCGTCCCCCCTCTCTACCGTCCACTCCTTGTTCCCTCCTCTCCATGACTGATGTCAAGTTGTTGTTGTTGTTGTTGTTGTTAGCCTCAAGGGAAACATGCTGATTATCACTTGTAAGTCGCTTTGGACAAAAGCGTCTGCTAAATACATAAACTTAAACTTTGTTGGCTGCCTCACAAATCAGTTTCCTCTTCTGAATCTCCTGATGCTTAATTCTAACTGAATGTTTATTCTAGAAATATTAAACTTGTCTGTTTTTTAGGCATCGATTAGCAGGTACCATGTTAGTATTCTCCTCACAGAGAGCAGATTCAGAATGGATTTTTAAGCAGACATTTTGGTCAGATTTCCAGATGTGGTGAGTCCACACCTGTCTACTCTTTGCTTGAAACTGGAGGTCTTCAATCTGCGGCTCTGGAGCCACATGTGGCTCTTCACTCCCTCTGATGTGGTTCCAATTTACTTTAAGAAAGAATGACATGAGCCTGACTAGTAGTTATATTTAAGTTTATAACAGAGGAATGATTTAACTGCTTTTTCATGTATATATTTTTGGAACGAGCTCATGACGTTTCCACAGTAGAACATTACTAATGCAAGTTGCTTCCTGTCATTTCATTATCAGAATTAGCTAAAAAATGCTTTTAAAATGCTATGATCTGTTTTAGCGCTGAGCTAATTGCTCGAAAACTTGCTCTTATCCTTGTTGAACTCCAAAGAAACTTATTTATCTAATATAACTCGCTGTAAAGTCAGAACATAGTTTCACACATCCATTTGAATTCTGTAAAATTTTAAAATATATCATACAGTATTGTTATAACAGAAAATGCAGTCAGATGTACTTTATTTGAGTTTTTTCTTAGACAACAGGATGCACTAAACTTTATCGCCAACAATGCAGCCTATTTTACCCATTTTCAACATAAATGACACAGAACTGATGAAGCTCTGCATAATTCTAGTGTCATTTTCGTGTATAGAGTTTATTTCTATATTTGCTGTTGCCTAGCGATAGGTACCAAATTCTGTACATTTTAAAGGTACCGACCGAATTCCATAGTACCGACTGAGCATCGATTCACGTCATTTGAAACGGTGCCTCGTTTCGGTAACGTCCTTCATAACGAGAACTTGCCTAGACAGCTGCGCATGCGCAAGAGCGTTATGTCGTCGGTCGCTGAGAGCCAGTTGTAAACAGAGCAGCATGGTAGAAAGAACGCACGCTAAAGCTTGGGTCCACTTCACTAAATGTGATGGGTAACTGGGTGATGATGAAACCAGCGACAACGATCTAAGTGAGACATCTTCATCTTAATCTGCTTCGGTAGGTAAAAAAAATGTTTAAGATAACGTTAGCTTGATATGTTAGCTTCCGTTTTGCTAATGGTGCGTTCGCTTTCTCCTCGGAACTCCGAATTTCCAACTAGAAGAAAATGAACGCGCTCTAAAGTTTGGCTCCACTTCACTAAATGCGACGGGTGATTGGGTGAAGATGAAACCAGCGACAACGATCTAAGTGTGAGGCATCGTTTTAATCTGCTCCAGCAGCTAAATAAACTGTATAAGATAACGTTAGCTTGATATGTTAGCTTCCATCGCCACCATTGTTATCAGCTAATGGTGCGTTCGCTTTCTCCTCGGAAATTCTAACTTCCCAGTAGGAAAAATCAAATGAAAAAAGACGGTAAAAGGAATGAAGATACACAGTAAATTTAGTTCACAGTAAAGATGTTTGCCTCAGTTTAATTATCAGCTTATAAAACTACAAGGACGATGTTAAAATACAAACAGTTGTATGTTATTTATCGTGATGTTTATCAAATATGGTTATATATTGAGAAAAATATATATTTAATTATAAAAGAGAATTAAAATAATAAACACTCAAAAGTATCGAAAATTGGTACCGTTAAGTACCGGTATTGATTCCTAGGTACCGGGAATTAGTACCGGATCGAAACTCTGAATCGTGAACGATCAGGTTGATTTCATGGCTCTTTAAGCGTAATATTTAATAGAAAGTAGATACGTTTGAGACAGATGACCACTTCTGGATGCTTTTCATGAACTTACACTAATGGTATAAAAATAAAACGCTTCTCTTTACCTGGCCAAGAAATATAACCAACTTTTGGGTTTTAGCTGCAATTTAGCCATAAAATCTCTGACTTGAATTTTTAATTGTATTCAGGCCTTCTGCCTGCGTACCGTTCTCACCTGCAGTGTGATCCGGCACTGGGGGTGTCCTCACTCTGCGTCCTCCTCAGGTTGGGTCGCTCCGGCTGCAGAATTTCTAGAAAACAAACATCACATCATGATGGTATAAACATGAACTACTGTAATTTATGAGCTTAGTGTTTTCATCCAGCACTGGAGCCGAGTTAGGAGCTTTCAACAAACCGGCATTAGCATCCCACGATTACTCAAGAAAAAAGATCTTTGATTGAATCATTATTTAAGTTTTATCCTCAGGCGAGGGAGGTATGACACCATGAGTACACAGAAGGCATTTGTAATATAAAATCCTGCAGTAGGGCGAGTAGGGAAAAAATCTGGCTAAATGTTTTCTCAACAGTAATTTATCTTTTCCACTAAAAGTCTTGAAACTTAAACAAGAGTTTAAATTTTGTAGATTTAGATGCAAAGTTTATGTTGCTACTTAGACCCTGAAGTTCGAACCATCCTGGAGGTCTAAACCCTGATGGTGTTTAGTCATTTCTCAATCAGCAGCAGTCAGAAAAAAAAAACACACACATTATAACTGATTATATTTAAAGGAGCTCCAACTGGCAGGATTGCACGTTTCGGTACACTCTTGGAGCTTTGCTGCACGTCCGTGTGCTCCTGTCATCTCTCTGCTGTCAGAGTGAGAATTAAGAAACAATATGTCAGAGAGGGTGAGCTTTAAAATAGCTGGGTAATAATAGTTAAACAAAAAGAAAGAGGAAAAGAGAATTCAGTAACACCAGGAGACGCTTTAAGCAGCACCATCGCTTTCCTCAACACCAGCATCGGTCTCGCTAGAGAGGATTTATCTGCTCTTTGAACATTAGAGGTCGGTGGTCCTCCTCGCAGCTGTCGGGGATGAGAGAGTGATCATGGGGGGGGGGGGGGGGGGCTTAGACCCCTTTGTGTTTATAAAGAAATAATGAAATCCATAGAGCTTTCACACATGTGGCAGTGGAAATACAGTTAGTGGTTTAACACAGACCATTCATCCTGGTGTGTAAAACCTAGTCTGTGCTGGTTTGTGTGCGTAGTGGTGTGCGGTCGTGGCGGTGTGAGGGAATGTGTGACTTACAGCCCCAACTGTGACTAAAAACCGCAGGCCTGTAACATGTTTTTTATTAACACTCACTTTCTCCTGTGCACACAAAAAAACACCATCTCCCAGTGAGAGACGCTCACACTGGAGGCGCGAGCGCCGCAAACACTTTACACACAGATACAGTACGCCCTGCTATCTAGAGTAAAGCAAACAGCTCACACACACACACACACACACACACACAGAGTTCGGTGCTGTGGCAATGAAAGGCCCTCTTGTGTGCAGACCCAGTGGACATAGGGAAAAATAAACAGTGGTGTTGAGGAGAAGCCATTGTGTCACGGCCTGCTCACCGAGCCCATGACCCCCTCCATCCCCCAGAGCGGCGCAGGTCTAATACTGGTCTGGTGTGTGTTTGTGTGTGTGCTCCTGCACAAACACCTTTGCAAGTAAACCGAACAGAAACCTGAACTTAAGATCTGCAGCTAGAAAAGCGCTGGTTTACTTGTGTTGTAACAGTCATCTAACACTTTTATAGATTTACACTCCTTACAGCCTTACACTCCCTCCCGCTCTCTCAGGTCTGCTGATCAGCTGCTCCTGATTGTACCCAGGACTGAGCGTAAATTTAGAGGAGATCGCGCTTTTGCTGTTGCAGCTCCAAAACTGTGGAACGAACTTCCTTTAGAGATAAGACAGGCCAGTTCCTTATCTGTTTTTAAGGCACTCCTGAAAACACACCTGTTTACCCTGGCTTTTAATACCTTGTGAGATGTTGGTTTCTATTTTTTATTTTTATTTTAGCTGTTTTAGGTGATTCAAATGCGGTTTTATCAAGTTTTATCAAGTTTTTATTTTTTAATATAGGGCTAGTTTAATTTTATGTATCATGTGTTTTATTTATCTTTGCTGTTTTCTGTCTAGTCAATTGTTTTAATGTACTTTCTGTACAGCACTTTGTTCCTGTGCTGGGTCTTTTAAAGTGCTTTAGAAATAAACTGGATTGGATTGGATTGGATTTAGGATTGTTACTGGCATTAATCTGTAGATAATCTGTAAAGGACATTTCTGAATCATCTGTTCACATCTCATCGTTTTACCTGGGATTTCCCAACGTAAAGAATCAGCAGAAGGCTGGAGCATCTTACTGAAAATAAACTGCTCTGGTAATGATCAGGATTTATGATCCCACCACTACCTGGCTGAGTCAACATGTCTCAACACCTTTGGTAATCAGCAGCCTTAGATTAAAAAGGGCAGAAGTATGACTGGAAACAGCTAAAAGGAAGTCATTAAGAGTTTATTTTAGTTATTGGACAAAGACAGACAAAATAACACCCATTTCCTTTAGCGGGGACTCTTGACGGCACTCTCACTTCAATGACGCACTGATTGTAGCACGGCGCATTGGTGGCTGTTACTCACTGGTCTGGATGGCCTGCGTAAGTGTCTCCTGCTTGTGTGGAAAAGGAAGTTTGATGCGCGAGAATCAAACAGCAGCAGAGAGGGCCAACATTTCCAGAGTTAAAACCTTTCTGCGCTGGCTTCTGTTGCTCACCAGCTTTGAATGCAAGAGCTTGTTTATGAAGCTGGCCACATGCAAGAGTGTGTTTGTGTGTCTCGTAACGAGCTGCCAGAAAAAATGAGTAAAAACTTGGAACTGACAAAGCGACACTCAGAACGGGAACACTGGGTGCCTTGACACGGCAAAAGGCAACACACCTCTATCTGTATGCACTACATTCATCCAGCTCACATAAGCATGCATGCACACACACGCACGCACACACGCACACACACACACACACACTTGACCTTGTCATCTACATCCCTGCAAGACAGGGGAGGAACCCTCCACCTATGCACAACCCTTGGGGATCACAGGAGGCGATTGTACTGGTGAGCTGCAAGCAATGAGGCTCAATTACGCAATCCTCAGAAACAAATTAGACAAAAGCGCTCCTGATGTCGGTGATTATGTGTGTGGCGAGACTCCAAACGAGACGTGGGGGGAAGGTGCGCTCCAACCATTGAAAGTTAACCTTTAACCTGCACGCACGCTGCAGCTTTAACTGCATTTTAACAACTCGTTACGGCAGCCGTTTGCCTGCATTGTGAGTCGTGGTTTCACCTTTAAAGGAGAACTTCCATATTTTACCGAAACATGCTGCTTCAATTTTATGCTAAAAGTTTAACCAGAAGATAAACTTCTTCAGATGGACACCAAAGACTGGAAAAGGGGGGAAATGATTCACTTGGTTTGGAAAGAAACGAAGCATCTTGTTTACGGACATTAAAACCAGAGGGTGAAACAGATCTCACCGGGTTAGACGCTTTCAGCTCAGAAACACGCTCCCCTACTTCGCCACACTCTGCACTTAAGGGAAACAATACTTTAGGATTCGTTTGGTGTGTTTTTCATGCTTTAAGGCACTGACCCACAATTTAGATACAGATTCTGTCACCATTTCATAAATGTGATTGTATTCTCACAATTCTGAAGTGCAGCTAAAAATTTTCCATTTCCTTTATTAAAGCTGCTGTCTGGAGTTTTCCCTTTTCAGAAATGATGCATGAGTTTTCAGAAATCCATTATAGTGATTGTCTTATCATGTACTGTGGTGTAATGTAGGAGATAAGTAGTTTTTTTTTTTTTTTTTTTGCTGAGCCCCTCCATCCCACAGAGCTCAATGCAATATGAAGTGAGCACTGGTCAGCAGCAACCAATAGTGTTAAATTACCGCTAATGTACAGACGCCAATCACAGAGCGTGCTCAAGCGTTTAAAGACACAATGTGTAGTTTTTACCATTCATTTCTGGAAATATCCGTCAAAATGTTGTTGAAAATGAATGAAATGATGCTCAGTTGTTGAAAAATATTGATGGCTTTGTAACCATAAAAATCAGGTCTAAAATACATAGGAGTGGGTCTAAGTTTCTGGGCGATGCCATACTAGATGCCATGTTTCCGTGTACGGGAGCCCTTGAGGACAAAATGCATTTACTGATTTGTAACAAACGTTAACAAAACTTTCACCATTCTTAAATGTTGCTTTACACATTTACCTCTTCACTCACTGCCAGTATCTACTGCCCCTTATCGCCAGGAAAAATACACATTGTCACTTTAACTCATTCACTGCCAATGACGACTAAAGTCATCATTGGCATGTTTTTACTGTGTGGGCGTCGGACAAGCCCCCGCACCGTGAGAACAAACATCTCAGCTCTAAAGCCGATCTTCATCCGCGTACGTCACACGTCACGTGATCAGGAAGCAGAACATCCATGTGTTAGGAGATCGTTTTGGGCCGCTGCTGTAAAAAAAGTGAGGCGCGAACCGGAAAAGCGTCTGCCGATCACAATTCAACAACGGATTATGAAAGAATGGATAACGCTCGAAACACGCGGATTCTTCCTGACGTAAGAGGTGAGTCTACTCTTTGTTTTGGTTGTTTTGGCGTCGACATCATCCTAGCGCGCAACGTCATGTGACTCTTAAAAAAATAGTAAAAATGGTGAGAAACGCTGGCAGCGAAGGGCTTTTCTGATCAGGAAACGGCTGGCGGCGAATGAGTTAAGGACGTACCTCGGTTGTTGCAGAATCGGTGACCTTTCTCATGGAAGAGAAAGTTTTTAAAATATAAATATATGGAAACAACATAACATGAGCATAATAATTATAAGTGAATGTGTTTTAGCTTTGTTTAGTTGGCTAGAGGAGCGCATTCATGAACGAGATGTGTTGCTTGTGACCGTAAATACGGAAGTGAAAAGTAGGTGAGATACACATGTATGGCACTAGATGGAGCCATCAGATAAAAGAAAAAATACAGACAGGTACTTTAACTGCCTCAAAATTAACATTTTTAAAAATGCATTTGGTCTTTTACCGTAAGACCAACATAACAAAGATTTCTTTTTGCCTTCTGACACAATAAGTGTCTTTTCAAAGTGGAAACCGATGATATTCTAACAACTATATTTAATATTTAGGACATAGTGGTAAAAGGCTATTTGAGACAGCTGCTATTTCAAGTATCACCACCAGATGGCAGTAACTTTTACGGATTGCTCCTTTAAATTTGCTCTTCCCAAACGTAACTCAAGGCATTAATCGATCCGTTTCCTCCGTTCTGCTGTCGTTGTGAAGACACACGGTGCCTCTGAATGAACTCTTCATATCCAAACGTTCACAAAGAGACACATTTATACGACCGTGTGGTGGCAGGCCTCGGCCCTCACTGCTGGCCCTGTGTCCATTCAGCAGGACACACTGTGGTCTCTGTGCAACGCTACATAAAAAGCTGTGTGTGCATGTTGCATGGACTTGGCTACAGGTTTAAGTGCAGCTCAAAAACAGTGTCTCTGCTTCCAGACCTTAGAGCAGCGTAAAATGTTAGTGCAATGCATGGAAGAGAAAAATAGTGCTGACTGACTATGTGAATGCCTTGAAGCCTTCCTCCACTGATTGACTGGTCTTGTGAGAGTCCTGTAATGAGATTAGATGTTCTCCCATGCTGATGTAAAGGTTTATGGCTACAAGGTGAAGAGGCTGCAGCTACACAGAATCAGAATATTCTTCAGGTATCAGGTGACTTTAAGTTGAACAGGATCCTTGACATGTTGGTTTTGGCACAACAGAAAAATGATTCAAACATTAGTCAAACTCTTGACTAAAACCCAGGCTTTGCTGAAATGAATAAACACACATATAGACTGGTCTTAACTGCTGGCAGGTGTGACTCTGCAGCAGAGAAACTCAAGCTGCAGACTTAATTACAGCAAGCAAATTGTGCATTTATTTCAGACACTAAAAATCTTTCACTGCTCGTGGGATACGATAACCAGAAGTGGAACGTGAATTAGCCTGAAGACTTGCAGAACAGCTGGAGGATTTAAGCAGACGTGCACCCAAGGTGGTGAATTTATAGCAGCTGATAACCTCAGAACCACGGCTGAGATTAAAAAAGATTACATAATTAATCTGACTCACAGCATCTTTGGTATCTAAAAAACCAGCAAAATATAAGTCGACAGCACATTCTGTTTTAATGAAACAGCAGAAAAAACGTAAAGAGTGTTTTGGCATAAAGTGTGTGTGTAAGAGAGATGACAAATGTTATAAATGCTGTTATTTGATTTTACCTAAAAGTCCAACCAAGGACTAGGTTTGCAAATTAGCCTTTGGCTAGAAAACCTCTGTACCAAACAACGGTTGCATCGCCATTACATGTAACATTGTCTTTTGTGCTGTCCTTGTTCAATAAACCAAATACAATACAACTATTAATTTAAAGCCCATGTGGCAAAAGAGGAAAGGTCATAAAAATATGGAAACAATGAGTCATTTTCCTAAAGATGCACAAACAGAAGCATGAGTCCATTTTTTCATATACTCTACATGTCAAGTGTGTGTGTGTGTGTGTGTGTGGCTGCTGCAATGTTACTGAATATTGAAGGAAAATTAGGAGGAGAAAGGGTGAGAAAAAGAGAAAGCGTTTAATATCGTGGTGTGTTCTGCAATATGAGACTGTCTGCATTTTTGTGGGAAGCCCGTGTTTATGTTTGCACTAAAAATCTTTACTGATGGGTAAAAAAACAGAAAATGTCATCTGTGAGCTTTGGTCTGCAACTCAGTTCTCCGTGGCTCATTACATGGGTACTCTAAATGTATTTGTAATCGGTTACTTTATTATCTTTGGCTGGTATCGTGTTGTGGTTTGTATTGGCTGGTGCTCTATTTTCTTTTGTTTTACACTTTTAAAACCTAAATTTTAGTTTTGTTGCTCCTTTCAACTTAACAAGGCTGTGGGTTCCATAAAACATGATAATCACTGGTCTCAGTGTGTGTGTGTTCTTGTACATACTACATACTGAGGACCATTTTCCCTACAATGTGAGGACATTTTTTGGTCCTCACTTTGCGTGTGTGTGTGTGTGTGTGTGTGTGTGTGTGTGTGTGCGCGCGTGCGTGTGTGCGTGCGTGTATGTGTGCGTGTGCACGTGTGTGTGTGGTAAAGGCAGGACTCACTGTCTGCTGCTGTGCTGCCATTGGGCAGCGAGCCCAGATCAACAGCCATGCCGTCCAGGCAGACGTTGAGCTCGCCTCCTGCTACAACTGAGCCTTTGTTCTCCGTCTGCAGCACCAAACTCAGCTGAACGTTCTCCACTGGAGGGAGGAAGAACAGATGGATGGTCACAAAGTAAAAAGGTGAGTGACTGAAGGGAGGAGAAACTTTTGGTGAGACAAAGAAATTTTTTACAGGTAAAAAAAAAAAAAGGAAGGTGAGGAAAGATGGAGGAAGGGAACTGGATCATCAGCTCGCTTGTTACACTTTTCCCAGAAAGTGGATTAAATTCAATTCAAGTTTATTTATAAAGCGCCAAATCACGACAAGAGTTGTCTCAAAGTACTTCACACAGTAAACACTCCAATACAGTCGCTGCACCAAGTCACTGACTAGTGTCAGAGTCTTTACAGCAATCCTCATACTAAGCAAGCATGCAGCGTGGATCATCTGATCAACTACATAAAAATCTACTTTATTTATAATTAATATACAGTAATATTACATTATAAGCAGGAATGGCCTGCTGTCATTAAGATCTTTTAGTTGAATCCAGCAGCAGAAATCTGCAGCAACAGCTGTAAAATATTGTGGAACTGTTGCTAACTGAAGTGTTAACCCACACCGCCTCGCCAAAATAATAATCATTTTAAAAAACCTCGCCATCTGGACTTAACTAAGTCAGGAGCATTTCTTTGGAAAAGTGCTGCAGCGATTAACGTGTTTCAGCTGATGTCACATTAATACAACTCAAACTGATGCGGCGAATACTTAATTGTTCCCGAACAGGCAGAACACGGGTTCTGTTCATGAGGAAATGACAAGATTATATAGTCAAAGTTTTTCTACTTGAAGCAAACAATAAAAAAGGAGATTGCTTAGTTTGAGACAGGTTCCAGTTCTGAGTTTTCAAATTGATGTTCAAAGTGGGTTAGGGTTAAATTATAAATCCATAACCGGAACATACGCCTTTCAGAAATGACGTGGAACTTCATCAAGAGACAACCAAAGAAGTCCAGTGGTCTTTTATTCAAGGGCTCCTAGATAAGGGAGACATTTACACCAACAACAACGTGATCAGGCTTTTTGTTCTTACTTTTGCCATCGTGTGTGCGCAGTGTGTCCAGCAGGTCTATGGTGGCGCTGCCCAGCAGCTCCTTTCTCAAGGTGTGGCAGGTCCACAACTTTAAGTCCAGACGACTCTGGGGCGTTACATTTCTGCAGAATACAAGGAAACACAAGCACACACTCTTAATTAACAGAGGCCTGGTATAACTCTAACACACTCTCTAATGAGTTTTAAGTAGATCAGTTCAACACAAATTGCAGAAAACAGAGTTCTGTTTCAAATCCATATTTTTCCCTTCGAATGACATATTTCAGTGTGAAATATTGAAACGAACCGTTTAAAAAACTTGATTTATGCACCAGAATGAAATTATTTTAATTTGAAGATAAACCAAAACTAGCAGTTCTATAACAGAGGAGTTTATGTAAAACTGGACCTCACTTGCAATAGATTTTAATTAACATATAATTGTTTTGTTTTTCTGATTTGTGTGAGTGTGCTTGCATGTGCTTCGTGCGTGTTGTTCTCACAGAGTGAGGTCTTCATTCCACTGCAGCTCCAGGTGTCCGGTGCGTTTGCCTGTTTTTTTGGTTTCACTCGTCAGACCATCAGCTGTCACCTCAACGAAGGAGCTGAGCCGAGAGTGGCGGATCGGCAGCTTGGGAGACTGGGGCTTCGCTGACACCACTGCAGTCACATCAACACGCACGTCAGCAGGAAAAAAAAATACACGTTTTTCTACCACTGCTGCATTTGATGGAAAATAATCTGGAATTTTCAGGTTTTTACTGGTTTTTATTAGCAGATTGTTGGTTTTGCTATTATTAAATCTCTGCATTTTAGACACTTATGAAATGTTTTTAATAACTGTGCTTTGAAAACGCAAAAAAATAAAAATACACACATTTCTAGATTGCTAAATGTAAAACAGATATGGATTTAAACGAATACCAGTTTCATGTAGGTCTTATAAATGGGGGAAGTAGATTTTTTTATATAAACATCTAGGGCTGGGCATAAATGGAAAATTTTTTGTTATCGGAATTTCTGACTTTTATCGAGATCATTTTTCCCACGTCAATAAATATGATAATAAAAAAATGAAAAGATGTGTGTAGGTTGGCGGCGTTCATGTCCCTTTAAGAAGCTGTAGCAACACACGTGACAGCCCCATCTAGTGGACAACTTTTGTTTCTGCGCATACCCGTAGTTATCGTCCATTTATCGTTATCGAGGTGCAATCCTCAATATATCGTGATATTGATTTAGGCCGTATCGCCCAGCCCTATAAACATTAGGGATGTGACTCTCAGAGCAACTCACGGTTTAATTCGATTCCAATTCTCGGGGTGCCGATTCAATTCAGAATCGATTCACAATCAGTATTAACAAAGAGTGTCAACTCCAGGATGAACTACTTTGTTCTGCAAGTTAGTTAAAGCTATGGGACATTTTTATTTGACTTTAAACTGGTCGTGCTCCAAAAATGCAAATAAAGTGATTCTAAAACTGTAAACAGAAACAATCTTTTGACCAAAAGGCAGCATTTATTTTTGCTTACCTTGTAAAATATAACAAATCTGTAGTTGCCTAACAGTAGCTTTGAAAGTAATACGGTCAAATACTTTTCAAGTATGTGTAGGAACAAGTTTAACATTTGAGTCCTCAACCTGTTTAAAAAAGTGTCTCAGATTTCTTACAAAGGAAAATGTTTTCTCTCATTTATCAATAACTACAAATAAACACATGAGTAATCCTGAGTACTCACTTATCAACTTAGAAAATAAATATGAGAATATCTCAAATTTCTGAGTATGGAATAAAAAATTCAGCAGATTCAAAAATAAATCATCGCAATTTCTAACAAAGACCAAAAAAACATACAAAAGTGCATCTCAAACCTGTAACATGCTAAATATTTGAGTTCCTGGAATCGATTCTGAATCTTTATAAATAAGAATCCCGACTCAGACTTGAATGGATTTTTTTCAGCACCTCTAATAAACATCCTTTGAAAACGTTGGGAATTTTCCTAATATGACTCTAATCCTATTGAAATAGGTTAAACCTTTGTAGATATTTTAGAGTTTAATGTGTTAATTTGGTTTTACATGCAAATCTTTCATAAAGAAATATTTTTCCTACCAAGAAAACCATTTTGCCTGAGCTAATTTAAAGCAACATTAATTTAAAATAATAACTTCAGCACAAACTACAGTAAATGCTATTTTCAAAGAACTTAGGATTTACTGAAATACAAAAAGTCCTTAGAAAGTTTTGAGGCACATTTTCTGTCTTCTCAGAAAAAGATGTAAAACACCAAACAAACACAAACAAACAGCGCCCTCTAATGGACAAATGTATGATGTGCTGCTCTTAAAGTGATGGCTTCTCTTTCACACATTCTCAGAATCTTGTTGCAGCACGTTTCTGTCCGACAAGAGCTGAACTGTTCATCAGGAAGCTGAGGAATGCACCAGGCCAAGAGAGTAAATAACTGATGCTAAATGAAAAATACACATTATAATAATTACTTCTTAAAATAAAAAATAACTAAACTGGTTGATGATCTCTGATTATCTGAAAAAACAAATATGACTTTTATAATTTTACATTGGTGGTGAAGAGAGCTGAGCTAGAAGGTGAAGCTCTCGATTTACCGGTCGATCTACGTTCCTACCCTCACCTATGGTCATGAGCTTTGGGTAGCGACCGAAAGAACGAGATCGCGGATACAAGCGGCCAAAATGAGTTTTCTCTGCAGAGTGGCTGGGCTCTCCCTCAGAGATAGGATGAGAAGCTCGGTCATCTGGGAGGGGCTCGGAGTAGACCCGCTGCTCCTCCACATCGAGAGGAGCAAGTTAAGGTGGCTCGGGCATCTGGTAAGGATGCCTCCTGGACGCCTCCCTGGTGAGGTTTTCCGGGCACGTCCAACCGGGGGGAGACCTAAAGGTAGACCCAGGACACGGTGGAGGGACTATGTATCTCACCTGGCCAGGGAACGCCTTGGGATTCCCCCGGAGGAGCTGGCCCAAGTGGCTGGGGAGAGGGAAGTCTGGGCCTCTTGCCTACTGCCCCCGTGACCCAACTCCAGATAAGCGGATGAAAATGGATGGATGGATGGATTAAAACAGAAGGGTGGACAAACGCCAGATGCAGTAAAATCGAAGGTGTGGACAGCGGTAAAGGAAGCAGGAAGATAAGCAGATATAGTAAACAAAGGTTGAGGTCAGATCTGTAACTGATGATGAGCAAAAATATAAATATTTTCATCATTGTTCTATAGTATGTCACGTGTTTCTACAGCCTTTTTTTATATATACAGTATACATTTATATTATTTGTTTGTTTGTTTGTTTTTTTTGGGGGGGGTCCAATCATGATTTTTACTCCCAATCCAATTCCGAGTCATTTGATTTTAAGAATTGGCCGATACTGAGTCCCGATTTGATACTTTAAAAATGCATAAAAAAAGAACACACTAGAGTTGTCCTTTAAGTTTTTTTAAATAATTTGCGTCTCTTTCTTTCCGTATTTATGTCATTTCTTTAGTTTGCTTGCCATAAAACATCACTTTAGGAAGTACATTAATAAGAGACATGTTAATATTAAGAATGAATGTAAGAGTAGCTTTGTTGTCGCTCATATTTCAAGTCATGTACTCGGTGTGCAGCTGTTTTCAGCGACAGGGATGGCACAGCACATGACAGTCAGCAGCAGAGTCACTCTTTTCTACAAAACACCTGTAGAGCTGCTGCGTCTGTAAAGGTAGGAAGATAAAGTAGATCACACCGTGACTCAAGGAGATTGCAGAACCAGATGTTTGCAACCACAGACACTCATCCAGCGTGATAAATAGGAAGTTAAAGGTAAAGTCCCATTAGTCATCACACACTAGTGAAATTCAGCTGAGCTGTGGCCACGCTTGAGAAATATTTGGTGGTTTACACCCCAATCCAACCCTTTAAAGCTGAGTGTCAAGCTGAGAGGCACTGGGTCCCATTTTTTGAACTGACTGGGATTCGAACCCTGATCTCCCAGTGCCAGGGCCGACACTCTGGGACTACGAAACTGAATGAGGAGTTTAAGTTTAGCAAGAAATCAAGTAGATTTTTCTGCACCTTGGATCATGGCCATGAAGCCAAAGATAGATTGAAAAAGGTCATATGTGCAGCTTTACTGCAATTAAGGGACCTGCGTGTGTGTGTGTGTGTGTGTGTGTGTGTGTGTGTGTGTGTGTGTGTGTGTGTGTGTGTGTGTGTGTGTGTAGTCACTTATTATTCTACACCGGATGATTTGATCTCTTTATTACTGGCCTTCATTCTAATGGGTATTGAGTTTGTTTTCTTTATTTTTTTCAAGTGTAAACACAGCTTTGGTAAACACGTTACTTAAATGTGTGGAGATGAGTTCTAGCTAATGTAAAATAAAAACTACAGATATTTTACTTCTCACTGCCTAACAGCTCGATAAGGTGACTAAACCATGTTACCTTTCAGAATCAACTGAGACTTTTCTGTGGTCTGGGCACTGCCAGGTCTGGTCACACTGGCAGCTGCCATGACATCACAGCTCTGCAACACAACAACAAATACACAATATATTACAAAATACACTCCCTACTTCACACGCAGAGATTATTTCAGATGAATGACTTATCTCCCCCTCTGTGTGTGTGTGTGTGTAGGGGTCTTCACTTTCCAAACTCACAACTGCCCTTATTTAATGTTTTGATGTATATTTTATAAGCATTACTTTATTTACTTTATTTTTTTCAATAACAAATAAAAAATAAAAGATTACAATTCACAAAATAGTGTGGCTTAATCAATGTCAGTCACTCACTGCAGAGATTTGTTCCTGCAGAGTCACCTTGGACTAAGTCACAATATTCTCTGGAACAGTATTCAACGGGGAATGCATTACATTATATACAGCTAAACTCTAGAGCGATCCTGGTGAGTCTGTAGGGTTTAAATGACCATCAAAGAATAATCGAGGAAAATATCTTAAAAACAAGCCAATAAGTCCCTTATTCGGATACTGATTACACTCTTTAAACACTCTTGAGCCTTTCCTTGTGTCTTTAAATGTAGTTTTAAAAGATGCATTCTTGAGAAATTTTAACTGATATTGAGCAATCTCTTTTTTTCTTAGTTTCCTCGACAAAAGTACACACACACACACACACACACACACACACACACACACACAAACATCTATATATGGGGAAGGTCAAGGTTTTTGCTGCACCAAGGTGACTGCAGCTGGCTTTTCAATCAGACCACACAAAATCCTGAGCCTTATGTATTTTAGCCATAAAGTAAAGGATATGTGGGTGTTTTAACTAATAAAACGTTGTGTAGCTGCGGACGATCGGATGAGGATTACCACAACATAAGCGGTAACATCATCTCCTGTCAAGATAATACAGGGAAACCAGCTACATACAAGCAGACACACTGTCTCAGCATAACATGTCTGAGCATTACACTAAAAGGTAAACAACAAACAACCGCATCTATTGCCTTCCATTTATACCCTAACCGGAAAGTCTAAAAACACAAACACGGAAGATGATAAAGGTATTTCTTTACATCACGGTCAATGAAGGATTGGGAAACCTTGACACTTCCGGTCATTATTTTCAAACTAAAATATTCCTCGAAGATTTTGAGCATTTGTGATTTATGTGCGCCGTCGCCAACATACATCAAAGCTAATAAAAAAGTCTATATAGACGTAATCTATTAATTCGTTTGTAAATATAATAACAAATATTCGCGCAAAATTGTCAATTAATGATATGCGCATGTATGATGCTGTAAATTTCTCGAGAATCTACTTAAAACTACTAACAGAAAAATTATATTAGATTAAAAAATCAACATAAGAAACTCAGCATATTTTACAAACTAGGCGAATATAAATAGCATTTGTCTTATTAATTACGCAGTTTAATAAAACATCTTTTATTTTGAAGAATCATCCAACATTTCCGTTCAGACATATTTTATCAAGCTAACTTGATGTTTAAGAGCTAACGTTAGCGGAAAGCTTCGTAGCTCGAATTTACAGAAGGACGGGTCAGTAAAATCTGTTCAAAACAGAGAAGAGCTGAGCTTCTTGATTCGTTTTCCGTAACGGTGGACATTAAATGCCCTGACATGCTAAAAACTGAAGCGTGAATGTAATAATTTCTGTACCTTTTTTTAGCTGTGGTCCACCGTTGTCGCTACTGAACTTTCATTTCCGCCTCAGTGACAAAACCACGTGACCATGGATATTTTCATTGCACAAAGGATTGTGGGTCATATTAAAAAAAACACCACCACCTTGGCTAAAAACATTAAAAATGTACTTGGTACAAATATGGATCGGATGGAAAGCTGTCTAGTTTTTCTGTTTTATTTATTTGTTTATTTTAGCAGTCTAGTTTTATGAATAATAGGGGTCAGGTGCAATGTGTGATGGGTGGTAGCCGAAGGAGGGGATCTTGGCAGTCTGATCCTTGGCTGAAGCTGGCTCTATGTTGGGGTTTAACCCAGTGAGTGAGAGACTATGTGTAGGGGGCGGGTCCTGACTGTCGTCTGTGCTTATGCACCAAACTACTAGCCTATATATTCACATATATAGTCTGGCTTGCCAGGCTACCAAACTACAGTTCAGGCTAGTCACCCTTTTTGGAGTCCTTGGAGGGGGTGCTAGAGCGCACTCCTTCTGGTGATTCCCTCGTTCTGCTGGGGGACTTTAACGCTCACACGGGCATTGACTGAGACCTGGAGAAGTGTGGTGGGGAGAAAGCCCCCCCCCCCATTTGATTTTGTTTTGTTATTAGACTTCTGTGCTCCTCGTGGATTGTCCATAATGAATCCAAAAGGGTTCAAAGGAAGGCAACTGGGAGTCCATAATGAACACTAGGTGTCCATAAGTGTTCTAGGCACCAGGATACTTTAGGCTGCAGATCAATGATTGACTTTGTTGTTTCATCTGATCTGCGGCTGCATGTTTTGGACACTCAGGTGAAGAGAGGGGCAGATCTGTTAACTGAACACCACCTGGTGGTGAGTTGGCTTCGATGGTGGGAGAGGATGCCGGTCAGACCTGGCGGTCCCAAACGTATTGTGAGGGTCTGCTGGGAACGTCTGGCGGAGTCTTCTGTCAGAAGGAGTTTCCATTACCACCTCTGACAGAACTTCCCAAATTTTCTGAGGGAGGCGGGGGATGTTGAGCCTGAGTGGGCCATGTTCCGGGCTTCCATTGTCGAGGTGGCTGGCCAGAGCTGTGGCCGCAGGGTCTTCGGTGCCTGTCGTGGTCGCAATCCCCGAATCCGCTGGTGGACACAGACGGTTAGGCATGCCATCAAGCTGAAGAAAATGCCCTTTTATAGTCACCTGTGTGCTGGACACCTCTTAAATTAATCATAAACTCATCTGTGGTTGAATGCCTGTTAATTCTAATTTTGTAGTCTTAAGTGTGGCTTTTCTCCTCAGACAATAAATGGGGTATACTCATTTTTGCAACATGGGCATGAATTGTACTGTATTGTGATTTTATTTCTAACATGCAGCACTGTACAAAGTGAATGAAGGGTTAGGGATTACACAGATTACACAACAACAAACAGGACAATAATAAAAATCAAAATGAAGCTAATTTTACTTATCTACATCTTTTTTGGATTTTTACTTATCTACTTTGTTTTTACCTGTTTTTTCCACCAACTTTGAGCCGCATGCTTGAAAAGGAGTGGGAAGAAGTACACACTTATGAACCCCCACTCCTTTTCCACGGATCACACCTAATCCATCCTACACTGAACACATTCTCATTGTCGTCTTTATCTCCTAGTCAAAATAGGTAACATAATGTTGAAATCCATAAATCAAAAGCTAACTCAAATCAAACAAATTCTTTCTCTTTATACCTCCTTATAATCATTATTTTTATTCCTGTTTGAACTGCCTGGGCATTGCTTTAATTCTATGTTCAAACTGTCCCTTAGCTACACCACACACACAGAAACACAAAAGTGCTTCCTATTGGTACACGCCTTAATGATTTTAAATAGACTAAAACCTTGTAAATTATATCCACCTTCTCTGAAAGTAAACATGTTTTGAATAAGTCCTGGTAGTTGATTATTTTTAGCTTTATACTTAATATGTGCTGTTTGATATTCCACAAGATCTTGTAAAAATTATGAATGTGTATGATTCTTAAAACGTACTTTATGAATGATTCTAACTGCCTTTTTCTGAAGAATGACCAGTGAGTTTAGTGTAGTTTCGTAGTTATTACCCCAGATTTCTGCACAGTTGCTTCAATGTGGTGAAAACAGTGAAAGAATGTGGAGTGATGGACGATCTAATACCCGTTTAGTTGTGTTTAATACTGAAATACTTCTAGATATTTTAGAAGGAATGTATGTAATATGTGCTTTCCAATTAAATTTCCCTTCTATTGTCACACCTAAAAATCTGTTTTCATTAGCCCTTTCAATCTCTACACCATTATATCATTTTTTGCATTTTTATTTAATGTGCTGTTTCTGAATATTATTATTTTAGTTTTCTTCAACTTTAATGAAAATTTGTTTCTATCTAGCCATGCCTTTATTTTGTTTATTTCTGTAGTCATCGTTTTGAATTGGAATTGCAAATCATCTCCAGAACCAAAGATATTCGTGTCATCAGCAAAAAAAAAAAAAAAAAAGAGTTTTAACACTCTGGAGACTTGACAGATGTCAGTAATATCCATCCATCCATCCATTTTCATCCGGAGTCGGGTCGCAGGGGCAGTAGCCTAAGGCGGGAGGCCCAAACTTCCCTCTCCCCAGCCACTTGGGCCAGCTCCTCCGGGGGAACCCCAAGTCGTTCCCTGGCCAGGTCCCTCCACCGTGTCCTGGGTCTCCCTTTAGGCCTCCTCCCGGTTGGACGTGCCCGGAAAACCTCACCAGGGAGGCGTCCAGGAGGCATCCTGACCAGATGCCCGAGCCACCTCAACTGGCTCCTCTCGATGTGGAGGAGCAGCGGGTCTACTCCAAGCCCCTCCCGGATGACCGAGCTTCTCTTCCCATCTCTAAGGGAGAACCCAGCCAGTCTTCGGAGAAAACTCATTTCGGCCGCTTGTATCCGCGATCTCGTTCTTTCGGTCACTACCCAAAGCTCATGACCATAGGTGAGGGTAGGAACGTAGATCGACCGGTAAATTGAGAGCTTCGCCTTCTGACTCCACTCTCTCTTCACCATGACAGACCGGTACAATGCCCGCATCACTGCAGATGCAGCACCAATCTGCCTATCGATCTCACACTCCAGTTTTCCCTCACTCGTGAACAAGACCCCGAGATACTTAAACTCCTCCACTTGGGGCAGGACCTCATCCCTGACCCGGAGAAGGCATTCTACCCTTTTCCGAATCAAAGTCATTAATATATATATTTTTTTAAAAACATTTTGGGCCTAAAACTGATCCCTGTGGGACCCCAAAAATTAGGTCTGTGTAGGAAGGAGCCCACTTCTATGGCACATCGGAAACATACATCAGATGTTTCAGGTTTACCCTTATGAACCTTTACTGGGGTCAAATATAGCTGATGGAGGAAATTATAATGAACAAGCCTGTATCGTGCATTTATGGTGGTCAATACACTAAGCAATTATATTCTTAAAGTAAGTTCCCTGTTCCTCAAACAGTCTTTCAGTTTTTTGCATGTCATCTGGCTTTTGTTGGCATTTTAAATCAGCAACTGAAAGCTTGTCTTTTACAGTGGAAATATTAGATAATGTTACTATTAAAAATACCATATTGAATAAACCCACTACACATGAACAGGAAATGTGACATAATTTGCCCTTGGAAGAATTACATTTTACATATCTGAAATGGTCTTTCTCGATAGTAGTTATGACATTGTGGATATCTGGAATGTTAATTTATTCTAGGACCAATATAATTATAGAAATCTGGAATACATGTTCAGTCTGCCTAATAAATGTTAAAACGGCTTGCCATAACCATTAATGTTACACTGTCTGGACCTGTTTATAAAAGCCTAAAGTCTGGATCCGTACCAGTTTTTGTCACTGGCTGAGTCGGCATGTTAAGCTGCTACTCTCATGGGAGGACATGGAAATCTCAGAACTGCGAAGCTCATTGTGCAAAATAAACTTAATTTTCACACATTAGAACATTATTATCAGTATCTAGTAATTCACTATAGTGGATAATGACGCACGTCCTCCCTAGCGAAACATCACATTATCATTTGAAATAAAAATGATTGCGTAAAAAATTAAGGATTATTTCAGGGTGCAACAGTTGGCACTTTATCTATACATTTACATTACATTTTAACTTTCCTTTCACTTTACAATTTGCAAGTCATGAATATTTTAACAGTAGCTGGCAACCTTTATTAATACATA